CAAAATTCATGACCCTGAGGCCAAGTGGATCAGTGGTAAGACCACGGGCAATGGCTTCCCCACTCCCCGCCACCTTTTCATAGTCTGGGCTCAGCAGTGTGTCTCTCAGATTCTCTGTTTGGCTGTAGAGGGGCCCACGGAGCTTTTGCTGTGGTGATCATATTACCGTTCTAAGAAAATGTGTGTCTGGTAGAATCGGGCTCCTGAGAGACAGTCTGCTGAAGACACCTCCTCCCTGTGTCCCCTCCTGAAGTCATCCTTTCTCAGATGGAGATGTGAGATGTTGCTAAGCAACAGGGACAGTGCTGAGGCACAGCTGAGAGCTACCTTTGGGGGGGGCGGGGGGCGTCTTAATTCCTTTTTGTGCTTCACTTTCCACATGATAGAGAAATCAAAAGTAATTGAAGGGATTCTTCTAGAATACTTCCAAAGGAACAGTGGAGCCTGGTGCACAAATGCAGATAAATCCATTTTCCCTCTCAAACTTTAATTTGGATTAAATTAACTATTTTTGATTAGGGGATTTTTTTTAAACAACAGATCAAAATAGAATTGAGGGCAGAAGGCATATGTTTACAATGCATTTTGGGGGTTTTTTTGGTTTGGTTTTTTTGTTTGTTTTGTTTTTGCTTCATGATATACTGTATTTCCTCTCATTGGGTCTGAAATAATTTGAGTGCATTCATGGAAAAAAAGATGCCCAGGGCAGCTCACCCAGCCCTCTCCAGGCTCGGCCGCATCCCTCGTGGCCCCTCCGGTTATCCCCATCACTGCCATTTATGTTCTGTCCACTTGCAAATTAACCCTCAGGTCAGAGAGCCTTTGTGGTGGGATGCCTGGGGTCTGGTTCAAATCCTTGCTTGTATAAGAAATGAAGTCCAGAGAGGTTAAGTGACTTTTCTGAGGTCACAGAGCTTGTTAGCAGCACGGCTGTGGCTGGAAGCTTGACTTTCAATTCGGTGCTATTTTCACGGTACTGTTTTGTTGAGTGACACAGCGTCATTGTGTTTTTCACTGTCAAACTGCCTCTGAGATGCTGTTCATGCTTCACAAGCTCTCAGAAATCAATTAGCTATGACTCTGCCTTTAGTCTCCTACTTAGGACAGTAGCTTCTCTTTTGTCCGCCACTGCTGAGACTTTGGTATTAATTTCTGACCTTAGGTTAACTTATTTTAAAATGAAAAAAGTAGATGAATCTAGGAGCGATGTATTTTATACAAATTGAGGAGAAATGAGAGCAGTGTGTTGTGAATACCAACAGAAGGCACAGAAATCCAAAAAATAGAGCAAAGGTCTTTTTGTTTGATAGAGGAATTGATTTCACCTTTTGTTTTGAGGCCGACTGAGCGTCTACTGTATGCTTGTGTTTACCCATCACATAGATCATGCTCTGAGCCAGATCTTGGGAATAAAACATGATCACTCTCTTTAAGGAGCTCAAAGTCATGTTCTGGAGACAAAACAANCATGCTCTGAGCCAGATCTTGGGAATAAAACATGATCACTCTCTTTAAGGAGCTCAAAGTCATGTTCTGGAGACAAAACAATGAACAACTAATGGGAATCCTGACACACAGAACACATAGAGGAGGAACATGATTTTCTAATTCTTCCTGAGAAGACATTTCAGCAGCAGTGCATAAACTCAGTCTCAGAGGATGGTTAGGAATTTGTTAGAAAAGACAGAGAATAGATCCCTGGAAAAATATTAAGCCTAAAATGTTAGTCTATGCTGAATCCTGGTTGGGAGAACCAAGGGTAAGCTGAGCAACAATATCCAGGGATGGAAAAGAAAAACAAAACAAAACAGAAGCTGGTGGACAGGCAGAATCTAAGAATAAGTCAAGAGGCCAGTCCAGAGCTACTGGGATGAGAGTAGGTTGGAGGAGACTGGAAAGACTCCAGGAGGTGCTAAGACAATATAGTCATGTATTTTTTTTTTTTATTAGGGTGCCCATGGTTTCAGACTTGGCCTCAATCAGCATTCTATATGCAAAAATAAATAAATAAATAAATAAATAATGTAAGCAGAGCTGTGGAGAAGAGTGTGTAAGCTTCTGTGGGAACCTGTGTCAGCCAGTGATATGAGGAGTTTGCATTTCATGAGTGAAGAGCAGAGCTGGCCCAGAGATGTGCTGGGCTCTGGCCAGAGGAAACCAGCCAGAGTTTCTTCACGTCCACAAAGTTGGGCGTTAGTATGAGCAGTTTACAAGTGGCCACCTGCCCAGCAGAAAATGCTCAGCCTGCCCCTTTTGGCTGGTCAAATCTATTCATAAAGACCACCTGTGGTTCTAAATAGACAGGCCTGAGGTGTGCAGGAGCTTTCTTAGGAGGATTCTTTCTTTGTATATGTACACACTGAGTGTGAAACTTTGCCGTAACGTAACTGGGTGGTCAGGTCTCCCCAGAGACCAGGCGCCATTTAGAGTGTATTGAAGCATAGTTATGCCCCCCAACACACACTACTTTTAACTGTCATCTTACTTTTCATTTACTTATTTCTACTCCTGACCATTTCCTTTTTTCCTGCTTCCTAGAGATGTAATAGTTCGAAGTGAATGAAGTAACTTTACAGTGATTAACTGAGCCTTTGTAATTGGTTCTTTACAAATACCATAGAGAGTTCACTCATTTTTTTATTCTACAAGTCTATGTGTTAAGATCCAGGAAAAAATTACTACAAATTCATAGTCTTATCTCGTGTTATTAAGCTGGGATGAGTTTTAGAACTTATTAGAACATTTGTTCATTCGATTAGAGTTTATTCAGTCCCAACAATGTAGTAGGTAGATTGCTGGGCCCAGAGAGGGTGAGTGATTTGTTCATGGAACTGTTACTTAGTAGTAGACATGGGAATCGCCACTTACCAGGGTCACCCTCCATCCCCACCTGCACCCCCATCTCCTCCTCCTCTTCATCATCATCATCACTATTACATCATCATTGTGACATCATCACCAGGATCATGTCATCATTATCACCATCATCACCATCATCATAATCTGCTGGGTGTTTGCCATGTCTTAAGCTTTAGGCTAAGTGCTTTACACATATTAAGTCATTTAATTCTCACAACTACCATTATTCCTATTTTACAGACAAGGAAACTGAGGCTTAGTGTGTCTAAATAACTTGATCAATATCACACGGTTAATAAGTAGCAAAATTCAAGCTTGAACCTAGATCTCTCTGGTTTTTATAGCCTATGCTACGTAGAATTCAGGTCTCCTGACTCCAACCAATTTCGTTTGTAGCCTCACTAGCTACATTGAGCTAATGAGGCTACAAAAGTTTTGAGCAAGATTATAGGTTGTGAATATTTCAGAATTATTGCCACCCTTTAAACTCTCTATTCTAGCATCACTTATTCCCATGGTGCCTATATCTGAGTAACAAAATACCCACTTGGTAAAGAAAAATGGTGTAATTCTCTACAGAGGAAGAAACTTGATTTTTTCAGTGCACGTTAACCACTAAAGTTAACAAAGGTGTCTTGGGTTTAATATTGGAGTTAGTAGTTAGAACAAATGCACTTTATTTATCAGGAGGAAATGTGTTGGGTTGGAGATGTTTCCCCTCCCCCATTTTTATACCACACACTTAATTTTTTTAATCTGACTTTTCTGAAAATAATTGGTGTAACAGCCTGTACGTTTTCTACTATATTGAAGCCCTTGTGGACTTCCCTCGCAAGTCTGTTGCCGGGGCAAGCCCGAGGAGGTGTGGGAAGCAGCAGAACCGAGGAGACCGGGTGCTCTGAGTCCCCGCAGAGGGAGCGGCGTGAACCTCCCGAGGCTGAGTGCCGTGGGGTCTCTGCACGGGTCAGCAGTGTAAATTAAATTCCGGTATCCATCGTGATAACCACATTGCACATCTCAGCCTTTTGAAGCCCTGTATGTGCTGTCTGGGATTCCATGATGGGGGCGGCCACTGAGATGAGGACAGTCATCCTGGGGGCTCCCGCTCCTTCGCTCTTTCCCATTCCTAGAAAGGGACAACCTTGTCCTTTCTGCTCCATCTGCCAACTTCCACCACATCCTCCTCGGTGGAACCTACCAGAGGAGGGCTTAGGACTCTCCCACCACCACGTCTTCTAGCATCTGCCCTGCCACGTGCTCGGCCTGCCCCTCCTGTACCAGCAGATGACCTGTCTGCTGTCCATGCTCAAGCTAAAGAAACTGCAGGTAAATTCTCTTCACTTAGTTGAGAAATAATTGCCAAAAAACTCTCCTTTATCCCCAAAATGTTTTTCTTTCTCTTTATTAGATTGTCCCCATCATGAAACAAATATGCTCTCATTTCTGTCACTTTAAATGCATGCCTACGTTTTGAGCACACGTGCCCCCAAGGGTCTGTTGGTTTCTCTGTCCCGGTTGCAGCGTGAAGCAGTTTTCTCCAATTACCC